CAAAAATTTAGATCGTAATTTCACTTATATCGTGGTACTGCTGCAAAATTGATATACTTCACCATCAAAGAATGTGACGGTTTTCCGAGGGGCATAAAATATTTGAAAATTTTCAGTTTTAAAAAACCCTATGCTCTGAAAATGGATGAATTTCACGTGAACTTACCTACTTTCACTCTCTCGACTACCGTTCACTAATGCCGCAAATTTTCAATGCAACATTTTTCCGGTTCGCCGCAACCTGGAGCAAATAAAACAATTTTCGCTGGATTTTTGCAAGATCCTAAACCCACACCACAAGATTCCTTATGCAAAACTACTAAACGTGTAGTCCTTAGAGTTCATGTCGTAAATTTGTTGCTGAAACGATCAGACGATGGATATTGCATTATATCCTCAACGCTCACAATCAGTGCAGCCGCAGCCGCGTAAAAATTAGCCGAAAATCTTGTCAGAGCATTGGTAGTAGAGCGGAACATAAAGGGTGCAGAAGTGGTGCTACGACGGGACTAGCTCATTCATCTCGAAAGGCTAGGGAAAGTCAAAAATTACTCGAAAATGGAGCTGAAACTGGAGCTTCCTTCAAAATGGGATATCCACAGCTTTTATTGGGTTGTCCCAAAAGCAAACTCCTTTTCCAAATAATCTAAGCTGTTTTTGTTTTTCCAGTAAACTTAGGGTATCATTTGATAGAGCAGATCAAGCTCTACAAAATAATAGGTTGTTTTGTCGGTTTGTCGGAACCGAAAGTTTGGTCGATTTTTTCAAACCACTGTAAAACCATGCACAATGAAGATTTGAGTGAATTTCAACGTGCATTCGATGCAGCTTTTCCTTCTCTTTCTTAAGGATACACTTTCATACCATAATCTTGTATGCTTTTTTTGATAATTGCCAAAATTCTCCACCTGTCAATTTTACCTGCTCAAAGTTGAGCTAATTTTCAAAAATTTCATTACAAAGTTTCGAAAAAGACTAAGTATGGGTCAAATAGAGCAACTCTCGGGCTACATGTCCACATTTTTAGATTGTTCTAATCTGCTGATTTTAACTTCAAAAAATTTTTTCTCCGGAGGCCTTGGTTTTTAGCCAAGTCATGAAACGCGCAATTGCAGCAAAAGCATGAAAGCTTTTGAGTTTTTGCAAATTCAAACTTGTTTGTTATTTAACATCACTTATGCAACATAACCAAGTTTGATTTGCTTCAAAAATCAGCTTTTTGGAATTTTCGGTAATTTTACGTGATAAAACCTGTTCAAAAAGCCGCGGTTTTTCTCAAATAAATAATTATTACGGACTTTATAAACGTGGCCCACGTAATCTAAAATAGGTCCAATGTAGCCAAAGGTTTGCATACATAACAGTCACCAGCGCTCATCGAAATATCAAGATAAAAATTTTGAAAATTCAGGAAAATTTTGGCGCTACTGCTGAGGTGCTCAAAAAGCCATGGCGATAACATCGTAAAGACGGGGTAGATCAGGGAACAAATATAGCATTAAGAAAGAGGATGAAAATATGAATCAGATGGTCCCTAGATCGTCCGTGGATTAGTGTTCTGTGAGTTTTAATGAACGATGAAGACCGACAAAACTTTCGGGACGACCTAATATCTACCAAGAATCCGCCTAAGTCGCATTCCATGGAAAGTTTAAAGCCAAAATCGGAAAAAAATTTTGTTACAAACTGGATTTCTGCGATAAAGAATCCTACAAACCTCCAACTTGGTCATTATACAGTAGGCACATAGTGGCACTCAAATATGCCTTCACCGAATATTTTCCAAGCATATAAAGCGAGAAACAAAAATTGTCCAAAAATGGCAAACTCCGCCCCCAGCCCCTCCCACATACCCTCAAGTCATTTGTAACAATATGTGAAAGTGCACACTCTGCACGGCAAGCGGCGGCATCCTTAGTAGTAACTTTTCATTAAAATCTTTTCTAGTCTAAAGAACTTTAAATTCGTGTTCTACTAAATGACATATATCCAATAAAAACAAAAACAAACAAATGAACAAGGAGAAATCATTGGAAATAAGCAGGTTCTAATCTTGGAGTTCGTCAGATAGCGCACATGATGTGCAGTACACATATTAAGTTATGAATGACTCGACGATATGTCCTTGAATACTACAACCCTTACTGAGTACAATTACAAAACCTTACCGCAGTATGTGCTCTTATATTTGAAAAATACCAAGTTTTACATTAAAAAAACCGAAAAAAGTGGCATTTTGGCATTTTCGGACCATCTTTTTTTTTCTCAATTTTGAGCCCCGGAAAAAGTCCGCCAAATACATTTTTAGGTATTTCTATGTGTCTACTATATAAAGACCAAGTTGGAAGTCCGTAGGAATTCTCTGGAAGGAGATCCGATTTTTAAGGTAGCTGAAAAATCTTGATTTTTGGCCCCAAACTTTACCTGGACTATGACTTGGGTGGATCTTTGGTGGTTTTTTTGTAGAGCTTGCTTCGCTCTATCGAATGTTACCTTGAGTCTGTTAGGAGAACAAGAACAGCTTAATTTATTTGAAAATGGAGTTTACTTTTAAGACAACCTAATATTTACATGTAGAGGTGACTTCCACTAGTTCAACTCACAACCACAATCTATGATTCGGAGCATTCTCACTATAGCTGCCAAGCTTTTTACCATTAATAAACAAAGCGTCGTGCGAAGCATTCAACAGAAAATTTTGCAACGCTTCACAATTAGTCAAGTGGATTCTACGCATATGAGCTGTAATAGGTACCTCTTAACTTAAGTTAACAAACGAGATTAAGATGATGGGAACAGGATGTAGCTTATGGTTTTCGTAGACAAAAACCTTGGGTAGATCAGCTCATGCGACTTGATGTCTCGTTTACGCATATCGAGGTGTATCTAATAATGACCTCCTTACTAACAAGGAAACGATACTTGGTGTCCGTGGCCTTTTGAGAAGAGATGTATACCATCACATTCGTCTTGGGACGCTGATTCCGAATCTGGCTTCCGTTTCTGCTAATCGTTTCTCTAGAAGAAGTTATGTAGAATTTTTGCGTCAATGGTCGCCTAAAAGAAATACGGTCGCGGATGCCTAACTTTCAAAAGAAGCTTGATTGAGGCAATGCAAAACTTAGAAACACATAAGGACTCGAGACTTAACTTGCATTAACTTGCGAGGCTATCGCACTAGCCACTGCACCACATCTCAGCGGCGGTTTTGACATTTCGACTACATCTCCTTTGGCGCGAAAATCCTCCATAACTTTTGTCCGAGAAACGATTAGCAAAAACCGAAGTCAGAATCGGAATCAGCGCTCCAAGACTGTAATGGACTCCAAGACTCATCTCATCTCAAAAGGCCACGGACACCAAGTATCGTTTCCTGGTAATAACAAACACGATTCAGACAAAGGGGATAGCTGAAGCTCGTGTGAAGCTTGCGCTTTCCGCGGACAAAATGAGCCACATTGTGTCCAGCTTCAAGTTCGGAAAGACTGCAGTATGGTCAAGGTAACCTTATGGACAAAAAGGAAAGATTGTGAGTGCCGAAAAGGCAGTAAGCGTTAGATCCTTTGAAACAGTTTTTCGGAAGACGGACAGCTTACGAGTTATGATGATCATTTGCACGGTATATGCAGAATTAAAAGGGGGAGGTGTAGCAGTTTGATGACCGGAAAAGAGTTCTTTCGATTACCCTCGCTGCTCTTCTCTTTTATTCTTATCTCTAAAGCTTTTCTTTTCTTTTTAACTCCAAACGGCACCACACTTTAGACCGTATAGACTCAAATACATTAATCGCACTCTGCTCATCCATGAAAGTATCCTCAACTCACTGCGATGCTCAACAAGTGAATCACAGACATGCACTATAGAATCAAGGGCGGCAAAAACGGAGAAAATCAGAAACGTTTTCTCCCTTACCAAAATCATTTCATAACCTCAATAAAAACCCAAAGCTAGCACTTCCCGGAAGCAAAAATCGCACAATTTCATCTGCCAAAAACTACTGTTATCAGCTTCTGAATACACACCTTGGATAGGTTCTGGAACAATCTTCCACTTCAGCGTCTCATCTATCTGTTTTCTTCAACATAAGGCAGAATCCATGCAGGAGGAACTTCAAATAAGTTCAAATTCGGTTCAAGTCACATGAGAAGGCATCTTACCAAAAATTAAAGTCTCCACCAGCAAGTGCATCTGCCCTTCGACGAGCTATCGGCTGGCTGACGTGTCCCAATGAGGATCTGGCGCTCCTCAGATTAAAGGTCGCAACCACCGCCCGTTTTCGGGACAAAAATCCAAAACCCATAGAACAGCCGTTTTTTCTTCTTCTTGTGATGCTTGTGTTTGTTCTTTGTTGGTAACGCGTGTTTCTGCATTGTTGCAGTTTGCAAGTATTATAGAATGCGAAAGTATGAGGGGTATATATTTCATTCATGAAGGAGCAAGTCGAGACGAAGGGGAAGGGGATGGGGAAAATCTGTGTTAGCTGAAACTTTTAAGTGTTTGGATAACAAAAGCAAGAGTTTGAATCAAAAGCGTAACATCCGCACAACAACTATCTGGTTGAGATTCCACTATTCATAAGTGCTAGAGAATTTTTCTTCCCTCTCATGTTATGAAAATCATCTTCGTGGTATCATAAGCCAAGCGAATCTGTATCACTGTCACCCTAGAATCTTTTAGTCTACATCATTTTGATGTTTTGTATTCTGTGGCCCATACTTTTTTCGCTTTCAGTCAATTTATGCTTGTGAAATTGTCACGATGAGAGTTGTTACGAGCCAAAGTGAGAATCATTTTGACTTTTTTTGCCGGAGTAGAACAGTATTCATTGGAAAAAAAAAACTCTGCTACTGTCTTTCTGATACTGAAGGATTTTAAATTTTCGGACTTTGCTTTCTCAAGCTAGTAACTTCACGATTGCTTATCTCAGCTTAGCAACCGTGAAGTTCCTCAGCTGCTTATCTCGATGTTTGTTTTGCTTGTGTATTGGTATACTTCAGAAACAAATGTTCGTGACAGATTGACGATCATTCTATAAAAGTATATGTTGGCTTATTTTTTACCTGCAGAATGCTAAAAAAGGCTGTTGTTCCTGTCGTTCGGGCGATCCGCAATTGTCATCACGACAACGCTCCCGCTAAATTCACTGGACAAACTCCAAATGGATTCATTCACGACGGTTGGGCCAATGCTGTAAGTTAATATTCTGACTTTCCATAAAATCAGCAAGACATTATCATGTTAAAGCACTCTGATTTTTATAACCAACTAGCTGGCTTACCCGGCTCCGCCGTATCCGGACCAAACTTGGCACACATACACTTCGGGCCCCGGCAGGTGTCACAGTCCACTTTTCGTTATCGATCGATGTCGATTTTACCGATTTTTATCGATTTTTTTGCAGAGTTCACCTACAGGGCTAGGAGTTGGCACAGGGGGGAAGTGAGCATGGGGATTCCGAATACAATATTAGTTTTCAGAATTATTGATTACTTTTATTGATTTTATCGATTTTTTGTAAATTTTGACATGCGAGGCTGGGATTTTGCACAGGGGGGTAATCGAGCATGCAGATTACGAACACAATATTAGTTTTCAAGATCGTCCATTACTTTTATCGATTTTATCGAGTTTTTGAAATTTTGAGCTAGGGGGCTGGAATTTGGCACAGGGGTGTAATCGAGCATGCTGATAACCCCCCTTGGGGATGATCAGCATGCTCGATTACCCCCCTTGGGGATGATCAGCATGCTCGATTACCCCCCTGTGCGAACTCCCAGCCCCGTAGCTCAAACTTTGCAAAAAAATCGGTAAAATCGATAAAAGTAATCGATAATCCTGAAAACCAATTTTGTATTCGGAATCTCCATGCTCGATTACCCCCCTGTGCCAACTCCCAGCCCCGTAGGTGAACTCAGCAAAAAAATCGATAAAAATCGATAAAATCGATATCGATCGATGACGAAAAGTAGCCTATGACACCCGCCGGGGCCCGAAGTGTATGTGTGCCAAGTTTGGTCCGGATCGGTTCAGAAGTGGAATTTTCTATTCGGAACATACGTACACACAGACATACATACAGACAGACAGACATACATACATACAAACAGACATTCAGCTTTATATATAAGAAGATAGGTACCCACTCTTGACTTTTGTAGGCCAGAGATTCACCTAAAATCCTTTCTGATCACCAAACTCAAGAACGCTAATGGGTCTCCTCGAAAAGAGTTAATGGGCTAGATTTTAGAGCTGGGTTTCTTGGCAATGAATGATCATATGCGCTGCTTCTAAGACAGTGACTTGTTTAAGGTCTCCCAATCACATCTCACATGAAGCTCACTTATAAAGAGCCTGGACATTTCCTTAACAAGGGTTATTCAATTATGGTATATTGAACGACCTTCGAGCAAAATACTTATGTGAATGTGCATTTTCACATTGACCCTGACTATATGGGATGAAATCGAGAGGGAAGGATTATATGTCGCCGTAAGGGAGCGGCCCCGCGGTGACTTGCGACAAATAAGGGACCGGATACCATGTAATTCCTGTGACTCTGCGGGTCCCGCAACAGTGTATATTGCGAAAAAACAATGTATGCTGGAATTCGCAAAGCACTCTAATGCGGCATATCGGAAGTCGGGGAATCACAGCAGTTGCAGGAATCACAGGAATCACTTCCTGGAATAGTACGGTCCCTAAACGCCTACAGTGCGGAGGTGCATTTTTGCAAGAAGTCCGCGCGGAACCCCACATTCGGCGACTATAGTCCTCTACCAATCGCACACATCTCCATTCCATCCACTCGACTATAATACTTTACGATGTAACTTTCCATGTGCGAGTCATTTGCACAATATGTGAGACTGCACGATCCACGCAGTGTCCGAGACGCCTTAGGCCTAAAGGGCCGGACATACTTCACGCGATTCAGTCGCTACGCGATTTGGAAATTCGCCAGAAGCCTTCAGATCCAATACTAGCAAACTATACATGGCTAGTGTATACTTACGTGGATTGGTAAAATGCCCTATCTTCTGCACATTTGAAAGGCGCTTCCAGTGAGTTATGAACAGTTAGAGTATTGCCAAATCGCGCCGCGACTGAAATCGCGTGAAGTATGCCCGGTCCTTAAGGCATACTTCGCGCGATTCCTGTCGCTGCACGATTTGGCACAACAGCGACTCTCTGTAATTCGTCGTTAATGCGTTTTCTTTGGTCAGAACAACCCATTTGCAACAACCTATACAAGCTACCTACCTATGCGTTCGACGCGCACGATAAATTTGTAGAAATCTGGCAAATCGCCAAGTCGCGTGAAAGTGGCGATTTGGCCAAATCGCGTGAAGTATGCTTTAGGCCTTACTAGTAACTCGTCAGCAAAGTCTTTTATAATGTGACATACTGCGGAAATGTGTACTGCTATTTGATACATTTCCAATCAAACCAAAAGAGAGAAGAAAATAGATATATCCCTGGGGAGTAACAGTTTTTAGTTCTATAAATCTAAATCGTGAAGTAGCACGCAAGGCGCGCCACGCGCACATTAAATTACAAATGACCCAGCGATAGGTAGGTTACAAATGTCCTGACGATAAACAGGAAAATTTTCGCAAACTCAACGTTAATCTAAGTATCATCATGCTTTTCAATTTCACATCTTCATTTCAGCGTACACCCTTCAGCGTTGCGAACAGATGGATGTTCTCAATCAAAGCGACGTTGTTCTTGGCTATTGGTTTCTGGGCACCATTTGCGGTTGTCGAATATCAATTGCGGAAGGCGAAACAGTAGATATATCACTATACGATGTAGTTTGTCAAATAATCTTGTAGATAAATGTGGATTTGGGTTTGAGTTTATGAGTGAGCAAATAGTGTGGCATCGGTATATAGTCTTGGTGATACGACACTTTATATCCTCGACTCATTTGTAATATTAGGTGGGCACATAAGTTTTGCAACTTTTCCCGTAACTTTTTTCCTATTCTATGTAGCAATCTCATTTTCTGATATCATGTAGATCGTGATGTAAGCTACAAGTCTGCGCAAACCGTTTGATTTTTGATAACGTAGTACAAAAAATCTAATTGTAAGCATTTTTTGAAAACTGCTGAAAATCGAGGTTTCACGATTTTTTGGCAAACATGAAGCCCTATGAGACCTGATTCAAACATATGAAAAAGCAAGTATAGGCAGCATGTAGCTGGAAGTTGGCACATTGGATTTGGTAAAAAAGAAATGAAATTCAAACACAAATTAAAGTGGGGCGCCTTTGAGAGGTTGAACAAGTCAAATGCGTCAAGTTTTGAAGGCAATTTGTCAATAACTAAGCTGCGAAAAGTCAGAATTCGCTATAACTTTGCACTATAGGGTAATCCTATGCGGTAAACACGAATATCATTTTCATTTGTCGCTAAAATAAAATCCATCTTTTGATCTCACGAACGAGGCCTTTTCATGCGAAACGGATCTCATTTTTGTGATCAGCATGTCAAATAAGCCCTATAGGCCAAGTTTCAGCAAAATCTGATGCATTCTAAAATTTCTCCCATAATACCGTAAACCTACCGTAATCCTCACATAAGATGGTAAAATTCGGCAAAAATGTGTGCATTAGAAGCATACATCATATTCCTTATTTTGCCAAAAAATGAATGCGCTACGTTCAAATAGACAAAAGTTATATAAAAAGTTGCATTACTTATGTGCCAACCTAATATTATGTGAGTCTGCACACGGTACTCGGTAACCGACGACTCCCTTACTAGTAACTCCTCAGTGGAACTCTCTCCTAGCGTAACAGCATGTCGAAATGTGCGCACTAGATTATGAATATTCATCAAACTAAAGGGATAAGAATACAAAAAGAAATCACTAAAGATGGGCAGCTTTCAGTCTTGAAGTCGTCAGGTAGCGCGCATGGTGTGCAATACGCAATTAAGCTGAAAATGACTCAAGTACATATCTTTTCTTGAGATGCAAAAAAACTTTTCTTACGAACGGTTAGAGTAAAATCATGCATCCGATGTGGTGTACACGCAGTCTTAGGGCCGCATGCACTAACATCTCCGCGGGGAGGGGATCGCAGCTTAAAAGAAAGCTTTATATTTCGAAACTCCAGATACTTGGATTTCACGTTGTGTACCTATCCGTAAGTATTCCTACTACCCTTCACTATGAACATGTTGAACAGGAGCGAGAAGCTGTACAAACCGCATTTTTCAGTTTTTGTACGATCCCTGATGATCCCTGGCGCTTTTCTTTAAAGTCATTTTTCTTTCTCCGAAGTTAACGAAAAACCTCCAAAGTTGTGCAGATTGTCTAACCAAACAGTGCTAAGCATGTTGCTGATAAGAACAAATGATGTTTTGAAGTCATGAAATTATCGATGATCCACACGTCGAAATTTGAGGTTTACCGAAAAATTCGACTTTTCAAAAACTCATTTGTTCTCATCAGCAACATGCTTAGCACTGTTTTGTTAGATGTTCAGTACAACTTTGGAAGGTTTTCGTTAACTTCGGAGAAAGAAAAATGACTTTAAGGAAAAGCGCCGGGGATCATCAGGGATCATACAAAAGCTGGAAAATGCGGTTTGTACAGCTTCTCGCTCCTGTTCAACATGTTCATAGTGAAGGGTAGTAGGAATACTTACGGATAGGTACACAACGTGAAATCCAGATATCTGGAGCTTCAGAGTATGAAGCTTTCTTTTAAGTTGCAATCCCCTCCCCAGCGGGGAGGTTAGTGCATGCGGCCCTTAGACGAGTAAGTTTCTTCACTAATATGTGCAATTGCAGATCTTCCAGGATGTTGGCACAGGACGCGGGCCCCGGATAAAAACGCATTACATGCAGTCGCTTAGCTTTTTTGAATCGACGTGGTCGCACACAGCAACAATGAAAAACACAAAAAAGAAAACAGTACCAGGGTTCAATGGGCAGTCACACTACGAAAAATAAGTAGCAGATACATTATTAGGAAACCCATTCAACGCTAGCCAGCACAAGAACGACGACTGTGGAATCAGGATGTGACCATGGTTTATGCAGTTTTGCGCAAGCCGCGGAGGGATCTTTGGTCAATCATGATACAGGTGGCGATGAACGTTACGCATCAATATGCTTTTGTATCTTCAGCCCATCGATTCGTTTTTTGGCGCTGTCTTCACTGCGCATTTCAGCGCGTAAACAAAGGATAGCGTCCCTGTCAACCATGTTTTTCATTTGAGTACTAAAAATGCATGCTCTTTTGCTCAGTTTACATCCTTGTTACGAAGGCAAAAATTTCCGATTAAGGCTTTGACCATATATTACCAGTGTTACCGGTGTTACCAGTGTTACCATCCCGCGTTACTAGTGTCACAATGTTACCGTGTTACTAGTGTTACCGCTTTCATTGCTGTTAAGTGGTGAATTATCGTTATTGATTACTATTGATACATTAATTTCACTACTCAACAATAGAAGCGGTAACACTAGTAACACTGGTAACCCGGGTAAGGTCTCGGGGAGAGTTCACGCGATTCAATCGTCGCGATTTAATCGCGACAAGACAATTGTTACGAGTTCATTGCATGCCGACTTCTTGTATTTCGGTTGTGATAGTTTTCCAACACGACTAGTCGTGACTATCACAACCGAAATACAAGAAGATCGGCATGCAAAGAATTTGTAACAATTGCCATGTCGCGATTGAATCGCGACGATTCAATCCCGTAAACTCTGTCCGAGGCCTAACACTGGCATGGTCAAAACCTAACTCGTCATCAGTCGGTTCTTTCCCTCATCAATGTTTTGCAGTTTCAGTATGTCTGTCAGAGCCATAGCTCCTTTTATTCGTAGCGTACGCAACTGCAGCATCAAATCGCCTGTGAAATCAGATGCGACAAAGTTTGTTGGACAGACTCCAACGAGTTTTATCCACGATGGTTGGGCGAATGCGGTAAGCTTTATTTTTTTTTTTTGAAAGAGCAAAACAAAATATTTTCAACAATGAATAATAATGATAAGACCACATATGATGAGCTTTGGTCAAGCATGGATAAAAATTATATAATGCTGAATACATCGAATAAAAAGCAGCAACAGCTAAAAGAGCTGGATTGAGGTCATGATCGATTATCGACATTGTCGCAAACTGATCTGCAGTATTTAGAGCTCTTAGAAAATTCCATTTTCAGCTTGGATTTTGAATTTGAATTGCTCTAAAAGTTTCAGCTCAAAGATTACTAAAAATGACCGGATGTGGCTGTTGTAGGATTGTTCAGTTCTAACTGTTTATACCAGTTTTTCGATTGTTGAAAAAAAAAACATTTTTGCTAGAGACTATCAGTTCAACTGAAAGGTCTCTCCGTCTTGTTTTTGATATGCCCATCGATTTCATGAATCCATGCTCACTCTGTAGTTTCGTACCTTAAATGGGACAAAAACAAATTGAAATTTTTCCTTTCTGCTTCATTTTCTTGATAGTAGACGAAATTTTATGAGAACTGTAATGTTTGCTAGGAACTCCCACAAGTTATTCTTCATAAAAGTTCTTTCCAAGTTTTGAACTATGCATAAGCATTAAGGTGAGCCATCAATCGTGGGACTTAAATGTCACTCCTTAATTCAAGGAATTACGGAATTTGCTCCGTTCAGCACCTGCCTAAGACAAGATGAGAATCGAAATTTAACTTCTCAGGAGTGAAAATAAACAACGAATGTATTTTTTATCACCATCAAAAAAGCGAATATAGTGGGTCATTTCGAATTTTCTTGTCAAGGAACCCTCTCAAAAAAGCACTGCAAAACCAGCTACTGGCTAACATCAAGAAAGTTTGTGTTTCCTCTTATGTACATTTCAGGAATAGTTATCTTGTCTTAAACTGAAATTCCTGAAGAAAATTATCCGGAATTTTTGACCAAAAAAACTTTCTCGTAGATGCAAAAATGTTTGAGTGACATGGTATTGCCAAGGAGTTGTCATTTGTGTCGTTTTCTAATAGGCAGTTATACTCTTTTCAAAAAATTTATGGTCAAAGTTATACATCAAAGAGATTGATCATAACTAACAGTCAGACTCTTATGTAATCAATAATCGAAAGCTTATACAGTACTAACCATTTTCAGCGAACACCCTTCAGCGTCGCAAACAGATGGTTGTTCAACGTGAAGGCAGTCGCATTTTTGGCTATTCCGTTCTGGGCACCATTCATGGTTGTTGAATATCAATTGAAAAAGGCAAATCAATAGAGCGATCGTTCATACTATGCTGGTGATTGTTCTGTATGATTCTGAGTGTTAGTCTCTGTAAATAAAGCTTAGCTACGTTCATGTACAGCACCGTTACATCGTACATTTTATAGCAATGAAAAATAGCACTCTGTTGAAGTTGTAATTGTGAAATGTTCCAGAACATGACAAGAATCGGGAGCTTTTTTCGTGATTAAGCCTTTTTCTGCTGCTCTGAACAAAGCTTTGTTACGTAATTTAGCGACGGAGGTAAATGGCTCAAAAATACAGTACTATAATTCAAAAAAGTTACTGAACTCCACCAGAATTCGTCGAATACATCGCATCGCCAATCTTGATTCAATGTGAATGTTTTTTGAAAATAACGGCTGCAATTTTTTGAACTATGGAAGTACATACTGGTTAGATGCTGTAGGGGCACGGTAAGCAGCCACATTTCGCGTAAAGGGCCGGGCATACTTCACGCGATTTCAGTCGCGGAGCGATTTGGCAATATTCCAACTGTCCATAACTCACTGTAAGCACATTTTCAATGTACAGAAGATAGGGCATTCTAATCAATTCACGTAAGTTATACACACTATGCATGTGCAGTTTGCCAGTACTGTATCTGAAGACTTCTGGCGGATTGCCAAATCGCGTCGCGACGGAAATCGCGTGAAGTATGCCCGGCCCTTAAGCAAAAATCTGAAATAATTATTTTCCAGATTTTTGCCTACGGTAGGTTACACAGTGTGCTTATTCATTGTACACGAAGTAACCTACCGGCAAAAATAATGAAATTCGTTCGCCTACTGTATCCAAAGCAGCACTTCTATAAATCAGGAAATGCGCCTAGCCGAACTGGAACGGTGCCCTTAAAATTTTCTACTCTGAACCGAGATATAGCGATGCGAGCGGGTTTCGGTGAACTCCGTTGGAAACTTTATTGATGTTCTTCCTTCTTAGTAATCAAAATTAAAACTAATCAATTCAAATTTGCTTTAATAGACTGAGGCAGGCAAAAATAAGGAAATGATTCAAGGAGCGCAGATCGCTTCAAAGCATAGCAACATTTAGCATGATACTCTGTTGCCTTTCCTTACTTATAATTTCGAGATTTTGCTGTCATACTTCTCTGCATCAACCTCTTCATACAGAGAAGTCTTAAGTGACATGCTTCATTTTCTTCTTTACTTTCAGACAAGGACGACTTGTTATCCAGTCTCGTATTTTTTGCAAATTACACATGCACAATTTGAAAGATGGAATAATTGAAAAAAGTTGCTGTCCTCATGTTATGAAGGAAAAAATACTCCGCAAAACAGATAAGCGAAAAAGGATCTTGCTCGTCAATAACAGGAACTTAAAAATCACTATAACAAGAGACGAAGGAAAGTGAGAGATTGCGCAGATTGAATTCATTTAGCGTACTCTATACCCTGATCTGTAGCAATTTCGTGAGAAGAGCATGAAAACAAATCCCGTCGAGCGAAGACGATTTAGATTGCAGCTTGCCAGTGTTAAAAATCAGTAGTAAAAAGAAGTTAGAAAATTGAGTTGAGATCCCTAGCGCTCGGGAAAATTTAAAGCGCATCAAAGCAGTTTCGTTCTATCATAGCTAGTTCCATAAATGACTAAAAAATCGGATTTACCCGTACACATATCATGGTAGTACTCAATCTTCGCAGCGCAAAGCTGTTAATCGTGTAGTGTTACCGTACCAATTTGAAACAGAAAGTCAATCTTTTTAGAAAAGGCAGCCTGCATTCCTTTGCTATAAAACAACTTTCGAACGCACCGACGCAACAGATTCACTATGATTCTAAGCATGCACTCTTTGGGCCACCATGAAGGGACTCTCGTCTAAAAATACTCGTGCACTTCTTCGTTCATTTTTTGCTAGAGTGTACGATCACCTCCACTACACAAATGAACCGGTTCGAGAGCATACAAAACTTCGCAACAGAAATAAGCAGCGACAGCTACTTCGACGGCTGCTGATATCCACGATTATACAATCTTGGGTAATCTTCATGTTTACCTGACCTCCATTGTGTGATGGGTGTTTGCACACCGACAGAGGTCGTGTTGCAACCACCCGGTCTGACCATTGAGCCATCGTTGTTAGCTGGTTGCTACCGTTTTGCGCCAGCCACGCTGACGACAGCCAGCTTTTTGCAAATCCGTTTGTAGAATGAAACGAATTTTGCAAAATCTGTCCTTAGCATAGAAGCTTTGCGAAGAACTACCTATCGTCAGTTCCACACGGAAAACACAATAGTGCAGGCTTCCAGCGATTTTTTTCGTTCTCAAAAAAGTGTGTTCTGCAAACCTTTCGTTTTTTCGCATGTTTGCTTAGATAATCTCCAACTCACGTTGCTTTCACTGTGTTCACCCGAAAGTATTCCTTACTCAGCACGGCCAGAATTTACCTGAACATTGTTTGTCTACCCTTCGGGCGGCTGCTAGCCGGTACCCGTGCTATCTCCCCGTCGTTCTATTTGCCTTCTGAGCCGCCTATATCGATTGCTTTAGTGACTAATACCTTATAGAGTATTGTTTCGTATACTATAGCGTAATTTGCATGTTTTTGAATGTTTTTCATAGATGAAATTCTTTGCAAGTAGTTCGTTCCTAGCATAATCATTTACGGTGAATTTCCTTGCTTCAAAAAGTATTTATGGCACAGTTTTAAGTTCACCATCTTGTAGATCCCTCCCATCAAAATGCCAACATTAATGTTGCCGAATTTCCGGCTACGCCTACACCCCATTGCATGAATAATTTTTTTCCGAACCTGACTCATCGTTGTCCAATCAGCTTTCTTCTCTTCCAAATACTCAGCTGCTCATCTGTTTGTTCCACCTATTAGAGCCCCCTCACTCGAGCAGTGCTAACATTGCACTTCACTTCGAGCATGTTCCTCGTACTACAAGATGTTGTCATGTTTTCTTTTGTAATTTGCAAGCGCATCGGCTTTTGCAAAAATTTTTCATTTATATTTATGCAGCAACCGCGGTTCCCATTGGGTGAGCTACATACTTTACATTAAAATGTACAGCAAAGCAAACAAAAATGATTAACCCTCCTTCTTTCACTCAGTCAAAGCTACTACTTTATAGATTAGACCGGTCGTCTCCACGAAACTCCGGTACTGCAGTTCTGCTCTCTTGATTATTCCTTATAAGTTGATATCTATTCTGAAATTTTTGACTTATCTGAGCGTTCAATTTCAGCTGTAAGGTTATAAACTTCCACTCGTAAACGCAATAGTAAAATGATCAAAAAAGATTTTTATTAAAGATACAATCACAAAACAATGTAAAAGCTCGATCCCAATGGTTCTCATCATCAGAAAAAACTGTGAATGGGATGCATTAATTCAACTAGTATTCCAAGATGTTTATAATTTGCAGCTATGATGTCAAAAAGGATCAGCTCTTACTCTAAAACCGGTTCGTCTTTTGTGCTTTACTTTTTAGATATGCGAAGTGGGTAAAAAGATCAAAGAATTATATGGCGAGCTTGGGTTTGTCCTATGGATCCTATAGATGTTTTTCTTGAATTCTTTCGAGCGAGGAAGTGGCAAAAACTTTATCAGATTCCAATTCCAAACATACAACTAAAAGCAGCCAAGGTTCGCAGGATAGGTAGACAAAATTCTTCAAGAGTTTGCAAATTGGGGGCATCTTGTCATGCAAAAGAGAAGAGCTGAGCACGTTAGCTTGATGCCTTTCATAAGCAAACCATTGCCAGCTTTTCCATTCATGCATGATTTTAGCAAAAATATGGTTAGCACCGCTTCTTTGAATTACGCTTTATTGCAAATTGCATGTTCGATGAAATTACTTCCCCTGAAATCCAGTAAGAAAATTTCGTTTTGGGTCTATGTAGTGAAGCCGACTTTTTCCTAAAGGTTACCGTTGTTTAGAACCGTACGCCAGCTGACCCCGAGCCCAGGTGACAAATCCCATAATTACGTCTGTCAATGTAGATATCAATGAAATAGGCTAAGCGATGCGTATCGATTATACCGGCTCTTCCATTCTCCTGCTGACATAGTATTACAAGTATATCGCAGAAATCCACATTTTTTTTTGTTGCAATTACATTAGCTGCTTTTTCATTGACCTTTCTTGCAGTTACACCAGAGACGATTTATCTTTTTGCATAACGATAAAACGCTACTATAAACTGATATACAAGAATCTGCTGACTCGCTTTCCAGGTCTTCAAAAGTTGAATCGCGCCGATTTAGCCTAATCATTCTTTTAGCAAATGATCATCAATTTTGATGCAGAGATTTGTAGCATATATAAATCCTCCACCAATCATTTTACCTTTTCGTAATGATATTTTCTCTTCTATCTACTAGGGCCCCGAAATGGTTTTTCCGATTCTTAGAGACAAAACACACCCCAGTTGAGCAATACGGTACAGCTGGCGCCTCTAGAGAAAAACCAAAATTCCAGTGTCAAAAGTTTTTAAGAATCACATTGCTACTTCATAACGTGCTACCCGCTGACAGGTAAAGGTAGGACAACCTTTAAGATAGACACTGCTGCTTATAACTGCGAAATATACTGATTCCTAAGCACATGCTGATCTGTGAGGACCAATAGACAGCGGAGGCGGCCCTAATACCAGTATTTAATCTTCTACCTATAGAAAGTAAGAAGATTATGATTACTGAGAAATCACGTGAACTGGAAGAAGCTCATGCGTGGACAATTCCCACCTAACCGGCCGGGCATACTTCACGCGATTTCAGTCGCAAGGCGACTTGGCAATATTTCAACTGTCCATGACTCACTGTAAGCACATTTGAACTGTACAGAAGATAAGGCATTTTGTCAATCCACGTAAGTTATACACACCATGCATGTGCAGTTTACTAGGTTGGATCTGAAGATTTCTGACGAATTGCCAAATCGCGTCGCGATTGAAATCGCGTGAAGTATGCCTGGCCCTTAAGGCCTCGGACAGAGTTCACGCGATTTGATCGTCGCGATCCAATCGCTACAAGACAAGTGTTATGAGTTCATTGCATGCCGATCTTCTTGTATTTCGGTTGTGATAGTAAGTTACGA